TCGTTTCCGACTCTGGCTTCTGCGATGTTGGTCTTGTTGACGATGTCGCGGATGACGAGCTGGTTTTCGCGGTAGGTGAAGAGGTTTTCGAGGCCAAAGATTTCGCCCTTACGGTCGGTATCTTGCTGCACGCCCTTGAAGTAACGGCGCTCGGAGGAGGCCGTGTAGCCAATGTTTGCCTGCTGCTGTTTGTAGATTTGTCTGGCATAGACGATCTCCTCAATGGTGCCGGAGGAGACAAGACGGAAGACGTCAACATCACGGACTTGGCCAATACGGTAGGCTCTGTCTTGGGCCTGGAGGTCGTAGGATGGGTTCCAGTGGGGGTCGACGATGACAACCTTGTTTGCCGAGGTGATGTTAAGGCCAACGCCGCCAGCTTTGGTCGAGATGAGGAAGACGAACTGAGTCGGATCGGAGTTGAAATTGTCCACGGCCTTCTGTCGGTCTTCATAGCTTATGCCGCCATCGAGGTAAGTGACGCTGTAGCTGGTGTTGTGGAAGAGATGTTGGAGGATTCTCAGCAGGCGTACGCTGTGAGAGAACACGAGGACTTTGTCGCCGGCCTCATGCCAGAACCTGAGAAGTTTCTTGAGGACCTTCCACTTGCCACAGAACTCAGGGTTCGCTAGGTACATGATCGCGTCTCGGTTTTCGTAAAGAGATTTCCAAGTGTCTGGGCAGCAGTGTCGTAGAGTGCGCATCTCACGCTTGTGCTTATCGTCGGTCTCTGTGCCTTGAGGTACCAGCAGAGTGAGATGGTTCACCAGCTTCTGAGAGGTGACAACACACGGAAAGATGATAGACTGCCACGGCGTCCCATCCTCGGTCGTCTTTTTGCAACACCAACCCTGGCCCTTGCCTGATCCGCACGCGCACGGGTTTGAAAGCGTACGAAGAAGCTCAACATCAGGCCTACTGAGGAAGTTCTTGTACGCTTCCTGCTGGGATTCAGTGAGCGGGCAAAAGACAACTCGGTCCGTCTTCTTGGGAAGTTGGTGGGCGATGAGTGTCTTCATCCTTCGGAGGAAGAAGCCCGGCAACAGATTATTGACCAGCTTGCGCGCGGTAAGGCGGGCATTCTTCAACTGGATGAGCGTCGCGTCGTGCGACTGGCCTGTCTTCAAAGGTTTGGTTATGGTGTTGTTCCACTCTGATAGGGTACCAAAGTGACCGGGATTCGTCCAGTTCAGAAGTGTCCACAATTCCTCGTACTTGTTTTGAATTGCTGTACCCGTCAAGCCAATACGGCAAAGGGCGTTGACGTCGTTCATAGCCTTGGTGATCTCCGAGCTCCTCTCTTTGATTTGATGGCACTCGTCAGCTACCACGGCATCCCACTTGACCGTGTTGACGTAGCTCTCGTGGTTCTTGTAGGTTGTGTACGTGGTGATCATGATCTCGATCCGACCAGACCGGGCCGAAGCCAAGACATCGTCCTTTCCGGGGCCATGAAAGACGCCAACCTTCCACCAGCCCCAACGGTTCAGCTCGATCTTCCAGTTCTCGATGATGGAGCCCGGGCAGATGATCAGCACTCTGGGATACCACCGCCCCATTTCATCACGCATCTTGCGCAGTCGTTTCCAATCACGCTCGTCGGCCGTCTTGCCGAATGCTGCCGTGAGGAAACTGGCAACCTGCACCGTCTTGCCGAGACCCATGTCATCTCCTAGGATGCCACCTCTTTGGTACACAAACAGGCGATGCAGGAACTTGACGCCGACAATCTGGTAGTCGCGGAGGTATTGCGCGATGGATGCTGGGATGACGCCCGCCGAATACTCCAGCTCGATGTCTTTGTATGGTCGGCATGGCTTGATCTTGGAGCTCTCATCAAACTTCGGTCGCCGCTCCAAAGGCAGTCCTCGTTCGTCCTCGGAGAATTTGAAGTCGTGATATTCTGGCGGCAGAAGAAGTCCGGCGTCTCGTAACTTCTCGCGCTTGTCGTCGAACTTCTTCCTCCGTTCTTTGATGTACACGGGTACCTGTGCGATGTCGAGTTCGTCTTCATCGCTATCGTCGGGCTGCTTGCTACTCGCGGCGGCCTTCTTCCCTCCCTTCACCTTGGGTTTCGCCTTGACCTTCCCCTTCCGGCCTGATACGAGCTGCGCCTTGCGCTTCTTCAGTTTGGGCAGCTCCTCGTCGGAGTCGTCATCCCACACTTCCTTCACCTCGAAGTCCACGAGATCACTTTTGCGCTTGCCAAGGGCTTTCTCGCTCGGTCGCTTCGGCTCGCTGATGTCGCTTGCGGTTTCTTCATCGGATATGACTATCGCATTTTCCTTCTGGGCGGCCATCGTGGAGGAAGTCGCATGGTTCGCCGTTTGGTATGGGTAAGGTAGATGACGCAGGGAAGTGGATGATGGCGGGGTGGGAAGACGCGACGACGCGACTTTAGCGTAGTGGGAGCACTAAAATGCGCTGAAGAACCCTGGCGGGCTGCCGAGGCGGGTGCCTAATGCGGGGCAGTTCTGAACCTTCCAAGGTAACGGCCCAACTTGGTTGTCACATTCCAGGCCATTCACCTTTAAACACTTTAACTGCCTGCATCTTCGATGCTGCCGTAATTCTGCCTTATTTTACTCGAATGCGATGAGGCCTGCGTGCAGCAGGAGAAGGCGCAGGCGACGAAAGACAGTACAGCGACAAGAGACACCCGTCTCAGCTTCTTCATTATCATCCCCGTGATGGATTTTTTCTGCGCCATTTCACCCAAGAAGCTACCTTACATCCCGATTAACTCCAGACTTTTCTCTAACCCTCCTAGCTTATCGACCAGGGCATTCAGCTAGGTGCCTGAACGCCTTGGTCCATCGTGTTGACGGCGAGCGTGTAGAGGGGCATCATGGTGCCCCATTCCGCTCCGAACGACTTGAGAATCGCCTGCATGTCAGATCCGCTGGGCTGCTTGCCGGCACCGACCCTCTGTCGAACCTTCTCCTGGATCTCCTTGATTTGCTGGATCTTCGTCTTCTCGTCTTCCGTCGCCGGACGGGGAGATTTCGCAGGCGCGCCTTCATCCAGCCACTTGTTCATCGCATAGCTCGGAGAGCCGCGAGGCGGGTTCAGGAGGATTTCCATTCTGCTGTCCTGGTGCTCCTTGCCCATTCCCGCCCGCCAGTGTGGTCCGTAGAACAGCTCCATGTTCTCAGGCGTGTCCTTTCCTGCGAGGATGAGGCGGCGCACTGGTTTGCTGCATGGCGTTAGCTACTGGTTTTCCTCATGAATTTCCTGTTGCGTGTATGACGGGAGCTTACGCTATGCCCTCGGGAGGAGCCCCGGAGCCTGGAACAGCGAGGCCGAGCTCTCTCATCAGCGCTTGTGCTTCAGGCTTGGCGCGCGCAGTCTTGTTGTAATACTTGTATGCCTCCTCGCCGGCATCATCATCACTCATGTTCATGAATGGGCTCGCGAACGACCCGCCCATGGCCTCCATAGGCGAGCTGGTCGTGCCGTTTCTTGGGGCCTTGCTCGGACGGTTGGCAAGACAGGTAGGCTTGTGCTGTTTCCAGTGCGTCTTCTGGCAGTCTTGCGAATGGTACCAAGCCTGGCCGCATGCCGAGCACTTCTTCAGCGGCTGCGAGAAGCTGGCGCTGTCCGCTCCGCAGCCGTGGCACTTTGAGCGGTCGCCCGGGCTGATCGCAGACGGCGCAGGCATGTTTCCGCCCAGGAACTGCATCATTCTATCCACGACACGAAGCCACGAGTCCTTCAAAATCTCCTGTTCTTCGGCGGTGCTGGTTCCAAGCTTGCAAAGCTCCTGCGTGACTCCGTGCTTCTTGAGGCCGGCCTCGATGGCAGCGGACAGTTGGGGTTCATCGATTGACCAGGTCCAGGGGGCGAAGGGCATGGGGTCGTCTGGTTGTCTGCCGCCGGGAGATTCGCTGCCCTTGACGAACGTGCTGAGAAGGAGTGGGATGGCGGCTTCGGCCTTTTCGGCGACGGTGGACAGAGATTTTATTTGACCCGGTCCAGATTGCAGAACAAATCTACTTTGTGGATGAACGGCGAAGACGACATCGCCAGGTGGTTGAAGCGGCACGTGGTTCACGGTGAAGACCCAGTGGTTGGGAAGGCCGGTGGGAGTGGTTCGCGGCCGATGAAGAGCGTTGAATGAACGCACGAGATCCTCCATGGTGACGGTGACTGTTGTGTTCCTCTCACTTGGGAGTCAACTCGTGAGCAAGCAGGTGAGAGTGAGAGTGAAGTTGAAGAGCTTCTCATTGAAGCTAGCCATGAGCTTGGGTCGGCGGGGTTATCGCTCGTGGGGTCGCGGGGTCCAATCCAGGTCGAATTGGCCAATCACGAGCTTCGTTGAGACAGAGTGCCCCTCTGAAACTTCCTTTTTCCTCGTGGGCGGTGACTAACCTCAAACGAAACATCATCACAGTACAGCAGCAAGAAGAGGTGTACCGCAGGCTCGGGTGCCGACAGGATGAACAAACGCTGTAGGCGAATCCATGTAGTGTATTTGGCGCTCTGATCAGCAACAAGCCAATCGCTCAGCTTGTTCCTTCTTGGTTGAGTCATGTACAGCACCCTTCTCGCTTTAGTTTGGATGAAATTCGAAAGCGAATAGACTCATCCCAACAACATCCCATACGTGCTCTCGGTTTGCGTGCTTGCCGACTGCACGGGGCGCCGGACCAATGCCGGTCTTGTGGAAAGTCCGTCGACTGTCCAGACATGTGGCAGTAAGAGTTACGCCGATCATTTTCATATTCACGGGTCATAACTCCGTGTAGCAAATATTCCACAGCAGCCCGCCTCACCCATTGGGATGGCGGGAAAGGTTGGTGATTCGGAGGGGTTCACGAGAGATATGCCAGCGGCTCTTTCGAAATTCTTGCATTCTTCTTCTTCTCAAGGCCGTTTATGCGTAGGATATCATAAATTACATTACCGTGTATCAAAGACGTGAGGGTATGCTGTCCAGTTGTTCCGCTGCCAAAATGCTCATAGTACCCCTCACCATATTTTGTGTATCAGTCAGTATATCATGCCGGTTCGATGCCCGTGATGCTTTTCGCGCTCGTCCCGCCGCTCGTCGTCTCCAATTCGTAAGTCTCGTTGCTGCTTTTCCTGACCGACCCTGCCCTCTGTGCGTATTCTTGGTACCCGGCATCTTCCAACGCCTTGGCCGAATCGGGCTCCCGGAAGACTGCCCCTTCCTCCTCGTCAATGTACCGCAGTACCATCGTGCCCAGCCAGTTGCCGAACCTCGCGTTGTTGATGGGAGATCTCGGGTTTCGCAGTCGGTCGTAGTAGTCGCGGATGTACGGCCCGCGCCGCCAGAAGGGCCGCGTGAAGATGGGGCTCAGCACGGGCAGCGTCACGGTGACGAGCCCGACGCCGAGTTCGCGGAAGCCCCATCGGTTGATGTTGATCACGGACGGCGCTCCTGTGAGTGTGGACACCGCCCGGATGATGGCTGTCGATATGACGAAGACGCCTGATGATAGGAGGATGGCGACTCCAACCTTGCGGCGCAGGGTAACCCGTAGGTGCCATAGGATCGGTATTGGGATCGAGAGGAGGGCGGCATCGGTTAGAATGTTTAGCCACAGGAGCATCCAGAAATTCTGCGGTCGAAATGTGCACTCGGGACCTGGCAGTGGTCGGATTCGCCAGTTATCGGAGTATCTAGCACCTTATGTCAACATCACTCTCATTTGATGTCTTTTGCAAAACGTACGGTTGACAACTTAGCGTTACGGTCAGGCACAAAGCAATATATGACAGACCGCACAACCAAAACAACGTGATGAGTGTCTTTCGTCGCAGAATTCCCAGCGTCAGGCGCTTATAGAAGAACAGTACGGTAAACTTCAACACCCCTATTCGATGTTATCAGAGCGCACCCCGCGCCTATGGAATGCGCCAAACTTACAGATACAGCCTGGGTATGAATACCAAGAGACGAACTCCAACTTCGACCCAAGCTCAAGAATACGAACGTCGTCTTCCGAAAGAGACTTGACTGCGTCCGCGGTAACGTCGATGTTCCCGCCCGTGTGATACGTAATCTGGACGATGTATACGTTCAACGAGTATAAGGCGAGGTACTAGGGCCTGTTAGACATGAATCTTTTCAGAGCGAGAGCCGTTGGATAACACACCGGCAGAGCAAGCCAGTCATCGCCCCGAAACCCGCGAAACCCGACAGTTCGAAATCGCACCGCGTATCGCAACAGTATCACGAACACTCCGATGGCATACCACGTCTAAGTCAATTGTCAATATGAGCCCCGTCAGTCGCAGCGGAGAGGCAGAGACGCGCGAACTCACCCAGACCTCAGGCAGATAAGTGTCGTCCTGTTCCAAGTGCACATTCGAACTTGGCCCCCGCATGATTCCTTCTCGACGAGGTCGGGCATCCGCGCATCGTCGATGGCACAGATATCATCAGCGAAGTAAGCTGAAGTCGGCGAGATGTCATTCGGTGGGGGGTGGGGGCAGATTGACGATCCATACCCATGGGACGAGCAAAATCGTGCCGACGGGAGAAGCTTGTATTTTCACAAAAGATACTGGACGGCGACGGGACAAGAAACACCCGGTGGGAGCTTCCTTGAATCGCGTCCTGAGGTCTTCTGCATTCTTCTGCTTTTTTTTGCAGTCGAGAGGGGACACAACGGGCGCGCGGGGAGAAACCCCCAGCAGCGAACAAAGAGACGCACCTCGGCGAGCATCATCCCGGTCAAAGGAGCATGCGACACGTCTAACACGCCGCCCGGACTGAAACTTTATTTAGTCCCATAGTAACCCAATTGCTACTGATCAAACAGAACATCCTTTTGCAATTGGAGCTAGGGCCGCCCTCGGACCTCCTTGCACTCGCGAATCGGGGACTCGAAATCGACCAGAGGTACGGGTGGTGGGGGATCATCGCGACAGGAATCCCAGACTGGCCACTGCACCCGCGCACGTACATAGCTGTGCTGTCCTAATCGGCAGGGCTTTCTGTGCCTTGGGCCCGTCGTCTGGAATTGCAAAACCACCGATCTTTAGAGGGCGCCCTTTGTTAATTGGTCCCGTGTCGATCGTGGAGGGAGCTCTGTTATGCATACGCGAGTTGTCAGACTTCACGGGAGCATCGGGAGGCCACGTGGGAGATCAGAGAAACTGGAATTTCCATGAGAGAAACATCATTCTCGCCTCGCAGCACACACACCCTGAAATTACACACGCGCTCGGGAACCTGTCACCATCATCAATCACAACTTTGACAGCGCCGGCGACGCATCTGGCCCTCCAGCCCGTCCGTACACAATGGCATGGTTCCTCGCGAGCCTCTCCTTGCTGCCCTGCGGCTCGTCCGAAGCCTTAGCCGCTCTGCCGACAGAGGTCTCACCTCTGGTGCGGATCCTGTAGCGCGAGAGTATATCGAATGCTGGCTCGCTGCCATCCCTGCTCGCGTCCGCGTGCAGCAGCACCCCCGTGAGAGCCTCAGCTACCGCCCACAGGATAGACCGCGCATCTCCGACGAGGTCCTCCTGTGAGCCCCGTGTTATCTCCGTCTTGACTGAATGCCATGAGTCGGACGGCGTCCATGCGGAGGAACTCGCCTCGGCAACCTGAGACCAGTTGTTCGAGCTGCCGAGGAGGGCGTCCAGGGCATCGATGGATTCCTGGCCGCCCTTTGGATGTTTCAGCGCCCGCAAGAAATCTGTTGCCAGAACATCGGTCGTTCCTTCCCAGATTGAGAGGACGCAGCAGTCGCGATAGATGCGTGAGATATTGAGGTACTCTGTTTCCTCGTTCACTAAGTAGCCGACGCCACCCAAAGCTTCCATACAGCTGTACAGCAGCGGGATCGACTTCTTGCAGACGTACGCCTTGCAGAGAGGCGTCAGAACTCGCAGCAGAGGTGCGATGTGCTTTTGGTCTGGGGTTATAGAGGCAAGCGCCGGGGGCAGCCCTGACTTGTTCGCCTGAGGGTGCTCGTCTAAGCCCAAGAGATAGGATGTGAAGAATGTGAGCAACATGAGACCGTGATACTCTGCGGTCATATCTGCCAGTGTTTGCATGTGCAAGGGGCTTTCGGCGAGCAGCATCCTCTTGCCTCGTCCTGCGCCAACTTGCCTAACTTTGGCATACGCTCTCGCGATGGCTAACCCGCGGCCAACGTAACTCACAGCACCCACGGCGGAGTGTATCCGTGTGAGCGTGAGAATCGTGCTGATCTCGTTGATGCCGCGGCCCTCCTTTCCAAGCAACCAGCCTCTCATGCCTTCCAGCTCTAGTTCAGCGGTGGGCAGAGACTGGGTGCCAAATTTGTTCTTGAGTCGTTGGATCCGAACCCCGTTCAACTCCATTCCGCCAGTTCCTTTGGACTTTCCAATCATGGTCTTTGCTGAAGGATCATGCCGCCTCATTGGCGCGTAGAACGCGCTGATTCCGTTCTGGGTTCTTGCCAGAAGAACGCTCATCGCCGAGTCCGTAGCACTCGAGAACCACTTGAAGCCGGATATAGACCACGGGCCGAGGGGGACGTTCTCCTCGGCGTTCGCCAGGCCTGCTTGCGCTGACGGGTCGTACGTCGCGACCGTCTCCGTAAGCGACACATCGCTCCCGCCGATCCTTTCAGTCATCCACTGTCCACTGGTCCACGCCTTTGCGGGGTCTCTGGACAGGAGGTGCTGCAAGGCGTTATCGAGAACTTTGCGTTGAGTGGGATCCAGGTCACCGTTAGCCAGGTGCAGCTGCAGCAGTCTCGCCGCGCCGTCTTGCATGGCCGACGGACAGGTCACGTTCGATGCGGAGGGGCTCCATAGATGTATTCTCAGAAACTGGATCACGCGAGCAGACGACCCGAGAGAAGTGTCGTATCCGGTGGCGACGATGCCCTTTGCGATCCCAAAGTTCTGCAAGCCGCGCCATCCTTCACCGACGACAAGTTCGGTTCTTGGCCGCCCGAAAGAATCCCGGCCGTTGCCCTTCAGATACGGCTTGTTGTGTTCAGATTCTGTGACCCATTCGAAGACCTGGTCGGACAGGACGTCTTCGCCGAGTTGGGCGATTTCGACCTCAACACGGCTGACGACATCTTTTGGGACGAATACTATCTACAATCAGCAGTCGAACACATCATCAGGACACTATGTCTCACGTCTCAATGCTCTCTGAAAGCTGGCATCATCAAAAAATTGGTTCGGCAGGACCGGGAGTTCTTGGAAGAAGCCCGTGTTGGAGCTGGAAGGCTTCATGTCGGATGGTCTCGGATTATTCGAAATACTGCATGTGACACTTCAATCCAATGTCTCAAACCAAAATTCAAGCTCTAAAGCCCTCGAAAACTATCTTATATCTGTCAGATTCATGCTGGAAGGATGAATCCAGACTCCCGGGACGATGTGAGACACGCGGGGTCGGCAATTTGTGGGGCTCCACCGAGAAGTCTGGGGTAAAAGCCGAAGAATAGACCCACAAAGTGCCGGTAACCTTCCAGACCGAGGTCAAATATTCCGCAAGGTCTCCACAAATGCGGGCTTGTTCCGCGCAGCACATCTCATCGCATCCTTCCCTAACCTTGAATCGACGCCAAGTCCTTCATTGTCGGATGAACAGTATTTCCCTCTGCGGACCAGACCTACGACGGGAAAGGGAAAGACGGCACGGCGGCTTCCATTCGAAGTCTTGGACGACATCATCCTCACAAATCGAACGCGTGGCCGTGGTCCACTCACCGACCGGATCGAAATCCCCATCTCGAAATCGACCGCCCCGAGCCTAGGAGACCAGTCCGGCGCGAAAACGAAATGAAGCGGACACGGCGCTTGGCCCTACGTAACAATTCGAGGGCATCAGCCCGGCGGCGCACCAGCGCTCAAGTACCGACATGAAGGGGGGCTCTCTAGTCTCGCGATGCACTGCGCTGCAGCGTTGTAGGAAAGGCGCTACGACAACACGATGCAACCAAAGCGGATGCCATTTGATGAGCCCGGGAGGTCCAGCCACTTCATTCTTCGGTCATCAAACGTGCATGAGAAATTGGTCTCATTTGCTGCCACAACAAGCCCCCCGGGGGCTTGAGAATCGTGTGGCTGAAGCTGGTTGGACCGATGGCCCTGCCGCAACGACACCACACCCCCAAAGGGAAATGAAGAAATGACGTCACTTTCACCTTTGTCTTCCCGCCTGCGACGCGCGCGCAGCCCTGATTTCTGCGCGTCTTGGGCGACGACATGCCCGAAAAGGAACTTTTCCTGAGTCACCAGGCAGGGCACTAGCCACACAGATCACCCCATCCAGGTCCTGTGATGCGCCCATCGCTGCCCAGTTTGCCGATCGGGAGCATTCTGGGCTCGTCGAAAGCCACAGCGATCGCCACAGGTTTCGCAACGTCGGGGCCTCGTTCTTGGTGATGAGTCGCGACGTGAAATGTTCCTGCCGAGCTTCCGTGTTTGTATTACTCAGTCCAGGGTCTGTTTTTCAGGCTCGTAGAGGCAGGATTACGACGCTGTACGTCTCAGGCGACAAATATCGTGATGAGGTCATACGACAGCAAGCCGGTCTTGCCCAAACTCCAAAGTCATGATGGCCTAGATGCTTTCTTTCTCCTTGGCTTCAGTGTCTCGGCTCTTTGGCGCTGAACTTACTGCTGCCGCCCAGACGACCGCGCGCATTGGCTGACAACATGCGAACACCAAATTTTATAATGACTTCAATCCAAGCAGGCTAGCAATCTACAAACAGAGCCAGAAAAAAAGAATAGGCCGTCAGCCTGCAGGGTCGCAACATCCCATCGCGGCCCCCGCAAAGGCTTGTTTCAAACCTCACGACCCGGGCTGCCTCCACGCGCCGCCCTATCAGAGCCCACTCCCAGCCCTAGCCCACCCGTCCCTCCCGTCTGCCCATTTCCTCCCCTAGCCAGATGACCTCATTTGAATGGCACATATGCAGGGTACCAAGCGCCGCCGTCCATTTCTCGCTGGTTCTGGGCCTGGCCTAGCAGCGCTCACAGACTCTCGAGAGCGTGCCACGAAGCCCGCTGCGCGATGCCAGTCCCAGTGACGTTAGCCCACATCCCCTTGTTCCCTCCCTCCCTTCGTCTAAGATGCCGGCAATACGCGAGCGATCTTGGCAGGGTCTAGCATTCTTTCAACCCCCGTCCTGCAGGAGGAAAGAAGGTCTCGGGACTTTGTCGTTACACTATTCTTACACACTCGTTTGCTCTGGCGCCGCGTTCTATCCATGTAGTGGCACACACATACAAGCTAGCAAGCCGAGCCGTGAAGAAAAGGCCCTGTTGGCTCATCTCGGCGCGGTGACGAGATGACGGTGTAAGTTTGTCAAGGGAGGTGGCCGCCAATTTTTCCCTTCCTCCTCCAAACCTGCTTCTGGCCGTGGGCGTCATCCTGATGTGACTCCTGTTGGTCCGATCCAGACCTTTCTCACACCTCGTGAGTCTTGTCTTGTCTTGGCTCATCCCGGACGTTCATAAATAGACTATCCATCTCAGTTCCCTCCCATCCCTTCCTGTTCCTCAGACCAGACAACCCACCAGCAGATCAACAAACACTTCCCTGTGCAACGGCCACAACCTCCCGACCAACCAACTTTACCTCTTTTCTTAAGTAAGAAAGAAACGAATCACCAAAATGGCGATCGACCGCATTGTGCAAATGATCTTCCGCGCCGCGGAGCTGGCCTTCGCCGCCATCGTGACCGGTATCACCGGCGCGTACCTCCACGCCCACGACAACGCCTCCTCGTGGGACAACGGCCGCTTCATCTACACCATCGTGGTGTCCAGCATCTCGATGGTCTTCGCACTCGTCTGGTTGCTGCCCTTCTCGGGCAGCTTCGTCCACTGGCCTATGGACATCTTCATCAGCATCCTCTGGTTTGTCTCCTTTGGTCTGCTCGTCAACGTAAGTCGTCCCCAATACACGACCTACCACAACAAAATACTGACATTAATTCCCCAGCTCATTGGTGATGGCTGCGGCCCCGTCTTCGACTGGAGCAACGTCAGCCCCCGCGGCGATGACTGCGGCCGCCACAAGGCCAACATCGCCTTCACCTTCCTCTCTGCCATCGTCTGGCTTGCGTCCGCCCTCATCGGCCTCTTCTGGGTTCGCCGCCGCACTGCTGTCGCCGACAACCGCCCTGCCGTTCACCGCCGCCGCTGGTACAACTCCCGCGTCTAAGCAGCAGCTAGGCAAACTTGTATGTGTGTGCCGCGAGGTTGCAATCCCTCAAGGCATTGGACATCGTCTTATCGTTCTCGTATAATACGCACGGCCCTTGATGGAGAGATATGTTTGGATGTCATTTTCCCATGTTAATGAAGTGTATGAGAAGGAAGATTGAAGGCTTCGATTTGGAACACTTGATACCCCCTATAATACCCCCACGACCTTGTACAATTTTACCTACTTTACTGTAATACTACACTACAACATCACAGTGCACTTGAATCGATGTTTACTCAGTGACATGTATTCCCCCTTGGATATTGAAGTATAATGTATTTCGAAGTCTATCACTACTATATGGAATGTGTCCATTTTTCCACGATTTATCTCACCAACCTGAAGTACATCTTTTAAATTCTAGTGAGGATTTGGATGCATTTACACGATAAGATAAGCCGGGGAATGCCACTGCCAGACGCATCGGCTTAGTGCGGGTGAGCCGATGCCGGCAAACGGGCGACCCACCCGCGGGAACGGGTAGGGCGTTGCGGCGGCTGACGTCTTGGCGATCCGGGGAAACGGTTCCACTTCCGGGGGCTTGGCCTCAACGGCCCCGCCATAACGGCGCTCTCTGGGGCCGCTTCATCGAGACATCCACGATCATTACCTATACGTGTTCACTTCAGCGGACTATGATATGTTATCTTGTACATCAGAGGCATCCGGTGACTTGGCAGAGTCGGCCGCGTCTTGATCGGATCGCCACTACTGCAAAATCTATCCATCTGAGAGGTTGGGTCAACTAGCTGCCCATCGTCTCCCATCATCTCCCGTTGGTGATGAGATCAAAAGAAGAGCCAAAGGTAGTAGTTATCTCTTAACAAGACTGGAGACTCCTTCGGCCGGTCTCAGTGATCCTCCAATTCAAACCAATGTGTATGTCTCGGCGCCTTTTTGGGGCGACTGAACCAATGCATTATCTGGCATCACCTCATTCACCGGCATATAATGGTGCTACATTTTAGAACCATCGTGAAGAAACTGACGCAAAACATCAGGTCATTCGGAAGTGTCGATCTTGCGTTGTCTAGATCTTGAGCAGTTCGGATCGAGACCGTCTTCACGCCAATGGGTAATTCGGCACCCGATGTGCTCAGTCTGTCGCCGCGACAGTAAAACATTGAATTCGCAAGACCGTACCTCAGCAACCGCCACTATTCGCCAGGATAAAAATGACGTATGCGTCAACATTCAAAACGAAGCTTTGACGGGGGAAGAGATTGGAAGGCAAAGCAGTAATCCCGACATCTGCTCGGAGCGGCAGCAAGCGAGATGAAGAGGATCGATCTCCCGTACAACCGCGCAAATTAGCCAGCTCGACCATCTACAAAAATACACTGTCGGCCAAGGCCTGTACCTGCACGAGCAATCGCCTCAAGCGGAGAGGGAGCAACAACAATGCCTCGGTTGCATGATTTCCCTCGCTGACCGCCTCGTATCGGCAGCCGCCACGCCGTTCCGAAAACAGCCCCCGTCTCCGCGACCGAGACGAAAATAAAAAAACACTCCAAACTCAGATCTCCGATCAGCATCGCTCTCGTGACTGGCTTTTCGCCCACGGCTGCAAGATTTCGACCGCTCCAGAACGTAGCCCCCCCCCAGAAATGCCTCGGACGCTTGTCTCGCTGTCAAACAGGTTTCCCCATATTCTTGCCTGTGCCCCTCTCCAAGACGACTAGCCCGCTTCGAGGAGGTTAAGCGGTCAAGCGGGGGGCTGCGCTCACTCGCCTTAGCCGTTCTCAGCGTTGTGCCATTTGCAATCGAAATTACGTATCCCATCCCGCGAAAAACCACAAGCAGGCCTCGGAAACCGAGAAGCCTCCCCTTGTGTACATGGTCTCTCTGTAGAGTTGAGATCTGTACAGAATTCTACGATCCGCGGTCCATGGGTCTGTAGAAGCGCCGGTCCTGCGGCTGCTAGAGGGCCCCAAGGTACCAGACCGCTTCGAGCTTACCGTCCTTCCTTAGCTCTTCCCTGAGCTCGGACTACGTGCCAGGAGCAAGAAAAGCCAGGTTTTGTGGTGAGACCGCTTCCTGTGAAAACGTGCGACGACATGCGGAAAACGGCGGCTGGCTTGCATTATTTTAGCTTGGCGGCAAAGGGGGCCCGGCTCTAGAAAACAGGTCACGCAGCAACGCCTTTTTTTTTGGGAGGGAGAAAGAAGGCGGGGAAGGAATTTGCAGGAGGGAAACGAGAGGGGTACTGAGACATGAGTTGATGTAAGGCACGGCGGGCTGTGTAAAGCAAAGAAACAGCGAGCTAGGGATGGGAATTGCGCAAAATTCCGTTCACAATGACCCAATTCTGGGCGATCGTGTGTGGCTATTTCCGGGAATCAGAGGAGGGATGAACGTAAGGGTTCGCCTTCAGCGTTCCGGGATGTTCAGTCAAACTGGAGTTCAGTCCGGAGCCACAAACAAAGATGAACAGAGTGACAGAGAGGGAGGTATCTTGGCTGACGAGATGGGTGGGAGGATACCTTGGCGGCGGGAAACAGGATGGGATGGACTGTGTTGTCTGATGAGAGCCGCATGGCGTAATGCCCCGCAATACCGCGTTGCTGAGGGGAGCTGGCGCCACGATATGCACAGCTGAGAGGTCGATGACCGCATCGTGTGGGGTAGGTGACGCCACAGTCGAGCCCCGAGAGGTTGAAGGATTGGGGGCCAAGAGACATGCACTAGCCACATCACAATCTCCCGTCATTGGCGCTAAGGCGTCACCAGCCACTCGAGCCCCCGCTCACTCAGACTAGCGTGACAAGGGGGGAGCTTACGCCACAGGAGGGGCGGATCAGCAGTGCGTCCGCACTGCGTCATTGGCGGGGATGACCTTGGGAGCTCTGTCTCTCCGCTGCCTTGGTTCTCACCTTCTCGGGAACGTCAAACCTCAGCCCCAGTATCCGTACCTACCAAAGCACGTCTTTTCTGTGCCTGCTCGTACAACCGCGCCCCGTGAATTGCGTTGGATCCGCATTTACCCAGCGACCCCGATGTCTTGCAGATGGTACCCTTTAGCCCGTGCTAGACCGGTGAGACACGACGCGCGGCGACGCTGTTTGTTCGGTTTTCTGAAGGGCAGCTCTGGAGCTTGGTTTCCGAGACTTTGTACCGTTCGAACATGCCACCAGCGGGTAGTCTGTCAACCAACTGAAGCACTTGAACGAGGAAACGTACCGAAGCTGAAGTACCTAGCTCCTTCCCCTCCCCCTCCACGTGTGGGTAGCGTACCTGATCGGAGGCAAGGTGTCCAGGTCTAGCAACGCTGCATGGATATGGAGTATGGACTTTGCCATCCGTATTCACTTTTCACTCCTTCCACAGCCCTAAACGTCACTAGCCACAGATCTTCGCTCCTCTTCAACCACCGTGACCCCGCCGTTGCTCCCACTTATGACGAAAATCCCTTGGTTTCTTACGTGTTTGTAGGGTCTCTGGACCAGATCGAGAACTCTGAATGCCACGCCTGTTCGCCCCCAAGCCCTTGCAAGCCCCGACAAGGCAATGGCCCCATCAAATCGACGAGGCTTGACGGAAACAAGCGCCAGTGTCACGCAAGCCAGCCAAACCCCAAAGGTGCTTTCCCCCGGTCGTTATCCAGCCGTGGCAGGCTGGGCCTGGGCCATTGCGGCCCCCAATTGGCCAGGGGCCCCGGTCTCTGCCGGAGGAGACGCACCGGCGTATCAGCTCCCTGTCCCGAGTGGTTGACAGATGAAGCTTGTATCCCGATGAGACAGCTGCGCCCAAGACCTATGACGATGTATGAAGTAAGAGTGCAAGCGTGTCTTCTGTCTCCAACAAGCATTCGACCGGTATTGGTTGGCGCTGGTGCTGGCAATGGCGTTGGCGTTTGGTACAGCAAGCACGCAGGCACGGTGATGCACCTTCCTTGGTTGTTGCAAGTCACAGCGTGCCCTGAGGTAAGGTGGCAGGTGGGCAGCGACGACGGGACTCCCTCCTGCCCTCTGTTGACTGCCGCAGCCACCTCATACGGCAAGCCTGGATCGCGATCGACCCTTCCTGTCCTGATCTTCCACGGGGGGGAGGCAGGAGACAGAGGCGGATGGCGCCTTCCTCAACATGGCCCTCCAGTTCTATATAACCTCCTCAACCTCCCGCCCTCATCCAGTTTTCTCTTCCCTCTCTCATCATCACAAACCAAGATACCCAAAACACAACCACCTTCACAACAAACAACCACAAGAACCCTTTTCCTATTCAACCAACTTAGAAGTCTTTTCTTGATACCCAATCGCGAAACCATCCACCATGTCTTCCATCGTCAACAAGGTCAAGGAGGCTCTCCACTCCGACAAGTCCCACGAGCAGCCTGAGGGCACCTCCGGACCCCACAGCTCCAAGGCTGCCAACGCCGCCGACCCCAGAGTCGACTCCGACCGTGACCACCGCGCCAACCCTGCCGGCTACACCGGCGGCGTCAACAACGCCCACACTGCCGGTACCACCGGTGGCCTGACTGGCACCCACGGCACCACTGGCACTCACACCGGCACCACCGGCACCTCTGGCCTGACTGGCACCCACAACACCACCGGCACCCACACCGGTACATCTGGTCTGACTGGCTCCCACAACACCACCGGCACCCACACCGGCACCTCCGGTTTGACCGGCACTCACAACACCACTACCGGCTACGATGACCCTTCCGGCACCCACGGCCCTCATGGCAGCCGTGTTGGCAACCAGGTCGACCCTCGTGTTGACTCCGACCGTGACCACCGCGGCGCCCCTGGCTCCGGCCTGACTGGCACCCACGGCACCACTGGTACCCACGGCACCTCGGGTCTGACCGGTACTCACGGCACCACTGGTACCCACGGCACCTCGGGTCTGACCGGTACTCACGGCACCACCGGTACCTCTGGCCTCACTGGCACTCACAACACCACCACCGGCTACGACGACCCTTCGGGTACTCACGGCCCCCA